AAAGATTGTCAGTTTCTTAGAGAGAAATAAGGCAAATTTAAGTTAGACATAAAGTAAAGCATTGTAACATTAATGACCTGTAAGTACTTAAATAGGTGCCTAGGAACGCTAGGGAACCTCTGTTACTAAGAATTTTAAGAATAAGCTAAGCAAACACCTGTCAAGAATGACACAGACATGCTTAATCCTTTCTTTGAGTAGGTGGAAGAACTAGAGAATTTCTTGAGGTCTTTTCCAGTCCTGCGTTTCACAATTTCTATGGTTATGCATCATACAGAGATTAAGAGATTGCTAAAACAAGTAATTTTGAAGCCCTGGTGTTGAAACAGCGCACACACTAGTCAGAAAGCCTAACTATTTCCAACAGTCAGATGCATCTGCTGTAATCGGCATTTTGTACTGTTCTCTTTTTCCACTTCTATTGGCAGAAATGACACCCACACAACATGTGTCCAGGCGAGCACATTTAATCTCATTTTTATCTAGCACGATATGTACAGAACACATGGCACAAGGATTATGAAGAACTATCTTGTTAAAAATTTATGAACTTTTCTATTCAAACTGTTTTGTCCAGTGGGCTATTCAGAAACACCCAATTACTGCAATATCTGCACTGGCATCGATACACAGACTTTTTCATTGCATTTGTTATCACATGAGGAATGTGGCACTGTAACTGACAAGTACCTGTGTTCCAAAACATGATTTAAGGTAGGTAGGCAGACAGCATACATTAAATCATGGTAAACAGCCAATTCTTATAATACGTTAAACCATGTTAAAAGGTGAATTCTTTTAATATCCTGATCTGTACACATACATTACATTAGTTAATCATCACATGTTCATGTAATCTGTACATTAGCTTCTGGCTAATACCATTCTGACAGACATTTGACAGTAGTAACTTAAGCTACTAGCAATAATGCCAATTAGCAATAAGACTAAAAAACTAAAATTGATCCCAAATTGTAAGAGGTGCTTGGAATTTTAAATTCAACTAAATCTGAAACACTGGTCAAAATTCAAACTAACCCACATGAACAGTAAGAACAGAAATTCCCATAGCTTAGTTTGCCTTCCCTGAGGCTGTGCCAAGCACTCTGAGTACATTGTGATTGCATGTCTTTTCCAACAGCAGGAAGAGAACGTGGCTGGAGTGTATGGCGTGAGCAAGCCAACAGACCAGAACATCGCTGCTGACAGAATTCGCATCATCTACACCTAGTGAGAAAACTGTCGTCCAGAACACGATCGTACCATTTGTTTGGCTGCTTCTTTTCCTGTAATACTGCTGCACAAAGGATGTTGACACGAGTTCACACGCACAACTATTTGTTAGCTGATGGCATATGCCAAATCTAAGGATGAGCGTTATTTTCAGGGGGGACATCCCCCCAAAAAATACCAAGGGAGGGAGGGCGAGGGCCAGGGAAGGCTCTTCCCCATGGCCAGGGAAGTAGGCGGGGGTGAACAGTTCCTACCAGGCCCCACTCACGCCCCTATTGGCTGTTGCTGCTTGTGATGCCTTTAGCCCCGATTGGAGCACACGTTGGTCAGGGGCAGGCACTGCCCGCTGATTGGCTGCTAAGCTCCGCGCAAGGCAGCGATTGGGTCTCCTAACCACCCACAGCTGGCGCAGGGCGTGATGGCGTGGAGAGGGAGCAAGGCATAGGCCGCAGCGGCCTTGGCCCCCGGCACAGCCCTGGCCCTGCCGATCCCGGTGGGGTTTGCGTTGCAGGGGCAAGGGCTGCAAACTACGAGTGGGGTAAGGGAAAAATCCTGCCCCGCCAGCTCTGGGCAATGCTGCCAGGGCAGCCTGGGCACAGAGCTGCCAGGGGAGGGCGGCTACAGCGGTGCAGACGGGGCCTGCGGATACCAAAAAGGCAAAGGCACCAGAGGCACCACGCGAGGGGACCCTGGTGTTCTGTCAGTGCTATTCTGTTCCGAACGCTGCAGAATAAACTGCCCTCAATTCAAAGAACTCATACGGACCAAATCTTCTAAGGCTTTCCCTAGAACAGTTATTGTTTCTGAATGCTTAAGCAAAAATGCCTTTAGGATTAAAAGAAATAAGCAGCACTGCAAATGACAAATGCCTTTTTTGTGTTCCTAAAAAACTATTTCAATCTGTTTTTTTAGCAGTTCTTCTTTCCATTCAAAATTGCAGAGGTTTGAAATGACAGCTTTCAAACTGCTCTCACTGAAAAGTGCCCATGGGTAGCACTATGGAATTGGTTTTTATTTACCAAGTCAAACTGCAAGCCTTTTAGAGGGAACAATATTTTATTCTGTGTTTATGTAGCATTTAGAATAAAAATACAGATTGTTGGAACAGTGTACACTCTGCCCTGTTGCCTCCTGGGGATTACTCACATGGGCAAAGTTTATCTTGTGCTAGGGTGCTGATTCTTCAAAGCCTTAAAGCTGACATTAAGCAGATATTGATACATCAGGAAACATCAAAGTTAACATTGCATGTACAAATCTATCCTCCAGCCCTTCAGTCATTAATCATATGTGGATTCCTTGATTAACATAACAATAAAAGCTGACCTATAACTACACACATAACTGTCCATGAAAGCCGGTGGTTCAAAAAGTATATAAAAAGTGTAAGTTATCGTGTCTTGGCTAAACAAGGAAGAATTATCTTTTCTTTTAATATGCAGGCCAGATAAACCTACAGTTTTGCTAGCATCCTAATCAGCTTATCATCTGTGCTGTTCTCAGATGAGTGCCAATAACACTACTAGTAAAAACCTTGTCAAATACAGGAAGAGGTAAATGTAGCATTTCTATTGACATGTTAATACAGGTATTTCACAGGGTATGGAAATTAAGCCCAGAGAGCATTCACATTAAATTACTAGCCACAAACCTGAAGTAGTAATCAATTCTGACCACTAAAAAGGTTTTAAACAGTACATACTGTAGAAATCTTATAAGAATAAGGCAAAACTCCACTGCAAGGGATTTTCTTTAAAAAGGTAAGAAGCAGGTATCTGTCTATTGAACTTACCAAAGTCACACAACTTCAGAACATCATTGTGGCTTATTAAGAGATTCTCTGGCTTGATATCTGGAGTATCAGAGTGAGAGAGAAAAAAAAATAATGCTGTTAACATCTCTCTTTAATTTTGAACTTTGTCAACAAGTACTATTTCATTATAACATATTTAGAGATACTCACGGAATCATAAATGAAGCATTACAAGAGCAACTGCTGAAACAGCTTCCAGCAGTCCAGTTTGTGAACACACAGAATTAATTTTTTGCCTTTTGAAGTCTTTTAAAGTGTTTCCCAACAAAATATGTGAATATAAAAGGTGCTTACAGATATTCCTGGGCAGCAAACCAATATGCAGAATATTGCATATTGCAAAATAATAAAAGAACTGACATTTAATTACCCAGTTAACCAATAAAATGCTGTGTTGTGCTCAACATTTTCAGTTATGATGATCTTGATCACCTCTTGTCATTTGTTTAGAAAACATATGTTGTCTAGTTTTCAGCCCATTTTTTTATTCCTATATGGATGTTGTGGCATCATGCATGGTATATTTTTCAAACTACATTTTAGAAAATATTTTCAGACTCTTGCTGATGTTTGATCAGTCTCAAATATAAGTAGCATATTTTATGAGAACTTTAATTTATTGGAAACATTAATTAGAAATGTTACTCTTGCAAAGCCACAAAGCAAAATAATTTTTATTAAATCAGGATAAAATACATAAAACTAGATAAAGTCACACATCAAGATACGTACTGTGAGAGCTCAAAGTTTAGGGAAGAAAGTAAATATACAGAGCTGAATGCATAGGAGCTGGGAGAAACTGCCTTAAGAAGTAAAACACAGGGGACCAAGCCTTAAGTTCTGGGTTATTCTTCTCCTAATATTCTGTTATCAGATTCAAAAGTGAAATGACCGAGTGCCATGAAATGTTTAAAAAAATTCCTTTTCCTTTGGCAATGTTTGTACTGCAGTTTCACTTATGAATATGATATGATTTTTATTCATACTCCGAAGACAGTGGACAGCAAGCTTCATCTGTAGATGAACTTACTTTTAAAACTATCTGAAGTCATGCAGCAGACTTAAGACCCAGCCAAATTTACAGATTTTTTTTTTTTTCTGTTGATACAGAACCATAGAATTGTTTAGGTTGGAAAAGACCTTTAAGATCATCAAGTCCAACCATTAACCTAACACTGCCAAGTCCACCACTAAACCATGTCCCTAGTGCCACATCTACGTGTCTTTTAAATACCTCCAGGGATGCTGACTCCACCACTTCCCTGGGCAGCCTGTTCCAGTCCCTGACAACCCTTTCAGTGAAGAAATTTTTCCTAATATCCAATCTAAACCTCCCCTGATGCATCCTGAGGCCATTTCTTCCAATCCTATCACTTTTTACTTGGGAGAAGAGACTGACGCTCACCTCGCTACAGCCTCCTTTCAGGTAGCTGTAGAGAGCGATAAGGTCTCCCCTCAGCCTCCTCTTCTCCAGGCTAAACAACCCCAGTTCCCTCAGCTGCTCCTCATGCGACTTGTGCTCTAGACCCTTCACCAGCTTTGTTGCTCTTCTTTGGACACAATATAAAGCAATTGCTTATATTTATGTTAAATGCAAAGTACTTCAGGCTGTAACATCTTTCCCTTTAGAAAGCAAATTCCTACTTGGGGCTTATTTCCATGTGGAGAACTACACACTTACCTCTATGAACAATATCATTCTTATGGCACCAATGAATTGCTTTAATTAGCTGGTAGATATAGCTTTTCACTTTTTCTGGTGGAACTCCATTTGGCATTTCTTCTAGCAATTCAAGCATATTCTAAATGATTAAAAGACACATTATTTAAAAGAGTTCTATTGTAGTTGTTAGAAGAGAACACACTTTCAGCATTCTGAAGCAACGTACTTAGGCCAGTGAGCCTGGCTATGCAAAATCGGTAGTTTAACATTCATGGAGTGTATTTTAATCATAAGCATACTACTAGCTGTTTTCATTTTAGAGAAAACACTTGCGAAGACAACAATTCTTAAAGGTGAACCACAAATATACCACAAGTCCTTAAAAGACTGCCGTCAAACCACAGCCTAAAACTTCTAAAAAGTCATTTACTTACAAAAAGTTGCTTGAACAGAAACACCAGGTCAGTGTGGCTATATGAAAAGTTCAGTAGAGCACAACATTTTGGAAATATCCGACCGTGCTTTAACATATTGGTTTCTTCATTATTAAGCTAGTGCTGCTGCTTTGACGTAGCAGGTCCATGATTAATCACAAACCATGTCTGTATGTGAATGGGTGTAGCTAAAGCAATACAAGCCTGTTAGTACAAATGAAGCAACAGATACAAAAATGCCTCATAGGGGCATCCTATAGCTATATATCAGCTATACTGATCTCAGACATATTTGCACTACAGTAAGTATGGTCATATTAACTGCTTTATGGATATACCTAGGGAAGAAAATAAACTGATGGGTTATACTAGTAAATTTCCTCTTTGAAAAAGGACATTTAGATTCCCATTATGTTAGCAAATGTCTCCAATTTTGCACAATTAGAAGTACAATGGATTTTGTACTCCAAATCCTGAATGAATAACGGGCAGCAGCAGCCCACTTGAAGACAGAAAGGTCTTATTTACTGAATTCTGAAATGTAAGGTTTTTGGCTATATTGCCTTACACAACTCATTTAACTGTGGATTTGAGCATTTGTAGACTTTTCATTTAAAATAAATTTACCTTGTCTTTGACAAACATTTTCTTTAGCTGTACAATAAAATTTTTGAGGTTTCTCTTACAAGATATTTTAATGAACACAAATATAAGACAAAACAAATGGAGACTTTGATAATATTTGAAAACATTTCTAAGTTTTGCAATCTGTGAATAAATACCGGAACTTTTGTGCATCACTGTAAGTCTCAGAAATACACTTCAGACCTGAGAAAAGGAATTTTCTGTTAAGGAACCATATTGATTTTAGTTAGACTCTTGTGCAGGATCTGGATAAGTAAGTCAAGAAGTTAGTGTTACAAACCAAAGTAGTAGCATCAACACAGTGAAACATAATCCTGTATGAAGACATTAACTAAGGGGATGACGAATAAAGGAGATTAGACTAAATGTGAATTTAAGTAATCTGGATTTAAGTATTGCAGAGCTAAGATTCCCTAAAGAACAGAAGGTGCTCATCATCAGTTAAAACAAAAATTAGTCCACTATACCACATTTCGTTTAATTCCTTCTACTCTCCCCTCATCCAAAAATACAGAAATCATCCTGGTCTTCAAAGAAACTATTGTGGAAACTATTTGACATATCTGAAAATAAGAAACGTTCATGGACTACAAAGTTTAACTGAAAATAAAGGTGACCATTAATATAGAGATGACATTAGGCACAGACTACACATGATGTCTACCTTTATCATTATATTCTTTTATTCTGATGCAAATAATGTTACATGTTGCATTTTGGTGTTTTTACCAATACTAACAATTTTTGAAGTACACTACATACCAGATCAATTAAATATCTTTTACTTATGCTGCTCTTCCAACCCACTACTACAGTGAGCTTAGCCAAGTCACAATAATACAAAATTAAATATATGTTCTAAGTTGGTGTCTGATCAAACACGTTCCATGTGTCTGAAAAAATTACAAGGAACGTGGGTGGAACATGTCAAGCTTTGGATGTTAGATCTAAGTAAGAACCACCACATTAGAAGTTGCTGATCTGCTGGTGAAAACCAAAACTGGTTTCTGCCAAACTGTGGGCTAATATAGGTCACCTCACGTCAGGTAATAAAGTTATACAACATAATAAATTGTAAACTGAGGTAAAGGAGACACATTATTTAGGGTAAGAGATCTTTACATGAGAGAGAATTTATTGAAGAGGACTAGCACTCAGCTAGACTGCAACATCACACTGGCAGGATATTAAATGAATATTTCAATCGGGGGAAGAATAGCTTATGAAAGCTACAGAGATACATATATTTAAGCTTGCATTTATTTTTACTGTATGTACCTGAATACCATCTAATTATTTCCATGAAGAAATGCTAAACGGTTGGAATACAGAGGGAAGGTCTACCTGTATCATGAAGATTGCAAAAATAATGAAAGACCAATCTGTTCAAGGTTGTTTCTCCCTGGAAACAAACCAGGATGCTTGGCAGTAGTAGGCCAATCTAAAGAAATTTTGGAATCGTTTCCAATGAGGTCAGGATTGGAAATAATGACAGTGATCTTTGCCAAATTCCTCTAAGCAACTATTGATAGTGGCCTTGTTGCAGAAATATACAAATCCTATTTTTAACAGGGAAGGATGGAGAAAGTTGAAACAGATTCCAAGGTCAAAAGTATATGGTCTTGTTTCGAAAGACTGCGTCAAGATTCATTATACAACCTAACAGAGGACAGTTAATCAACTTTACAATTAAACTGGACTATAGAGTTTGGATGCAAATTTTTCTTCAAATGATGTGTATTCTAGTCTACATTGTTTGAACATTTGTGTTCATATATGGAAGAACTTTTTTTTTTTTAAAGACCAACACATGAAGTAAAAACAATAGTGAAGTTATCAGTGTTGCTTTCTCACAATAAATGTCTAATAACAATTCAGATTATATTAAAGTTTCTGCTGTTCCTCTTCACAGATTAGAATAGCTTAATTTTTAAAAGTAAAAGTAATTTTCAAGACTTTTCCAGTAAGCTGATGATTTAACTGTGGCAAGGATAGTACAAACTCAACTCACTTTTTCCACATATTCAAAAACTAAGTATAATTTTCCTCTTCTTCTGAAGGCTTCCTTCAGCTCCACTATGTTCTCCTGTTTCAAAGTGCGAAGCATTTTAAGCTCTCGTAAAGTGGTTTCTTTGACTTCTTCATTTTCTAGAGTGCAAAGTAAAAGTAACAGAGTAAAACTTATTAAAAAACAAAAAACAAAACCCCAAGTAACAAGTGTTATAAAACCTTGTTTTGAACCCCTGATTAAATTCTCTGTTTCTAGATATTACATAGGACAAGGCTTCTTATCCAGTGTGGACTGACTCTGCTGCCTGGATGCTTCTGCACTGTAAGAGAGGTAACTGAGGACTGTGCCATTATGCAACCCTCACAGACTTCTCATCATTATCATCTAGGTTTTCAGTGGCAGAAAAAGTCAGAAAGAAACAAATCATTCATTTGCATTTCTATCTCTTTCATTATGGAGAGCACCAATATGCTTCAAAAACTATGCATCTGTGTGTGCAGACACATCCTCCACCCCACAAACGCCATGTCACATGCATGAAGCACTGGTGAGGTTAATATGTCCTCAGCAGAAACACTGGAATGCAAAGCTCATGTTTGAACACTGTCAAAGAAATTCTATTTGATTCTAAAATAATTTTACTCTCCAAAAGCCAGACCGAAGCACTGATCTGTAAGTTCTGTAAGTTTCCCCACAAGGTTTTTAATGGGAATTCAGCAATGCACACCAGTGTAGTGGCCACAGTGGGCAGTAGAGCAAGTATTGATTCAATGAAGCCTTGAATGATTACGAGGAGTCAAGAAGTTCAACTGTTGTTTTGACAATTTAGTTGTCTGAAAGTTGTTCAAGAAAGAAGGAGTGTTTTACTAAAGGTTTGTACACTGTTTATCATCAAGGGGCCCTGAACTGAGGATACTACCAATGAAATGTCAAGTAAACCAGATTATATTAGGTTTTATTTTTTATTTTGTAAAATGAAATCCATTAATTCAGTAAATTTGCCCATGCACATGTGGAAGCAGGGTTCTTAATCTCTCAGAACTGTTATTCACAACAGAGGGATATTAAATGGGATACGATTGCATGACTTCAAAGCTAAATCACGTTTGTAGGTCATGTACCACAGAGACAGTCTGAGACAGAGGAAGTAGAAACAAGGAAGAGAAATTGTTTTTCCAAGCAAGCAAAAGGCAAAAACATGTTTGCAGGGGAGAGAGAATAACACAGGTCATGCAAACACAAATAATCATCATCAGAAGAAAGAGGAAAAAAAAAAATTGAAGTGTAGCAGAAGGGAAGAGGAAAACAAAATACTATAATCACAAATGTTTTGATTAAAAATATATAATTTAGAGCAATCTAAATCATTTCATTTTAAAACTGAGTGCTTGGTGTTGGCTTGCATCAGCCTGATTACATAATTTCATCTATAACTAGACGCTCTCTTTCCAGTGTATTTAGCATGCATATGTCAAACAACAGCAAAAATTCAGTGAAACAAAAATGGCAATAGAAACAATTACAGTATATTCAGATTTGTAATGAACTACCATATTAACGAGACAGATGTGAAATGGGCTGAATCAAATCCATCAAAAGAACTTCTGTCATATTTCCAGAAACTTGTAAACAACTAGCTACAACTCTGAAAAGCAGTCATCAGTCATGTAAACTGATATTACGTAATGCTCTTGGAAAGCCAGACCTAATGGCAATGTTACATTTTTTGTTTTCATTTTTTGGTAGACAGGCTAATATAATAATCCTGTTTAGGGCTTAATACTAAACACATTCATTGCCTAGGTTCTGTACTGAATAGCCACATCGAGTTCCAGAAAGCAATTCTGAAGTACTCTAATGACCTGGTCAAGATGATCACCACAATTAAATGATGTCCTACATTCTTTAACAGGGATTTAAAACAGATTTCTGAATGGCAGAGCTAAAAGATTCATCAAATATACCCTTCAAGTCTCTGGCAAAATCAGCTGCAAAGCAAGAGTTTGCACTGCATAAAACGACAGACTGACTTTGCAGTGCCTGACTGACTCTGAAAATTACAGTCCTTGTAACCAACCACGCCTCCATGGCCACCAGCAACCCTATAGCAGTAACAAAAAAGAAAAGTTTGCTAAAATAAAGTGGCTGCTGTTTCTTTAAACCACATCATTAGCTTTCGGCTAAAGCCTTGGTATATGGCAAATCATAACTGCATTGCCTCAGACGGGATGACTCCTCTTATTACTTCATACTCGGCTTCTCCTGTTTGTGCTAGCCCATTAGGGATTCGGGCTAGCTTCTGATGTACGTAAGGTAGACAGTTGCTCTCATGGTTGATTGCTGGTTTTGCCTATGATAGGATACTGGGATTCGCTGTCCCCCAACAAGCACAGGTCAGAGAGCCAGTCTGGTTTGGTACAGATCTTTGGTTTTATTACTGCTGGGTAAGGAATGTGCATGTGCAGCACTGGCAATAATTTCCGTGTGTCCTGCCTTCTGCCATCCACTTTGCCAGCAACAGTAAGCCTTGCAGGAGTCAGCTCTTCCCCCTTCCTTCTCAGCAAACTCAGCAACACTGGAGAGTACAGAGAGGCTGCTGTGAGGGGGCAAAAAGCAACCTTCCTGTGGCGAGTGGAGCCTGCTGAAGGGAGGGCAGAGCTGCTGCCTCGCCACCCAGCTCCCTCAAATCCTCCCACAGATCCTTAAAGACCTCCCTGATTCTTCTTCGTACCACTGAACTTCTCAGTGACTTCTCTCAGTCTCCTCCATTGAGCCCTTCAAGTCCCCCTAACATTTAGATCCCCTCCCACAGATGAAAGATGCTAAAGCCCAAAGACTCTGCAAGCCACTACTACCTGAGGAGTTTTGCCATTTTCTGATCACATCCAGTCTCCAAGTGATAGATCTTACTATCGTGTATGGCACCTCAATCTGAGCCATATTAAGATAGATGTACCAAGAAAGAAAGGTGGTTACCTAGTTGGAGTGTACAATGCAGTCCCTAGGCAAGTATGAAGGATCAAGTGCCTTGAATATTCACAGAGCTAATAAATAATCATAATTTTTAAATCATGTCTTGATATATGAGACTTCTTGTTTTAACTGGAGAGATGCTAACAACATAGTTATTGACATGAAAGATTATGCAGCAGAAAAGGTTACCTTCACTGTCTTTGAATTTCTTGATAGCCACAATTTCATGCGTCTCCTATAAAACAAAAGCAAAGAAAGGGAAATGAGCAAAATCTGTTGTGTGTTTTCTCTTGGATTTTCCCCCCCGTGCAGCGGACAGGGGGAAAAAAAAAAAAAAAATCCAGAGAAATTTCACAATGCAGAACAAGATTAATTAAAAATCTGGTAAATACCTCAGTGATCAGGCCAAGTGCAATATAAAAATACATGTAACAAATACATCACAATTAGGAACCCCAGTATGAAAAGCCAAAGTTAAATGCCGAAGTTCATGTTTAAATACCTTGTACCAGATATCAATTACATTTTCAGAAGACTTGTTCCTGTGACTCTTGTTGGTTAGTTATTCTGAAAGTCAATCTATCTTCTATCTGACCAAGTACGAGTGTGGGTGCTTATCTTTGCAAGCTGAAATGAAAATACTGTACCAGCATGTGGGTAAGGTGTACAGTGAGACCTGTAATTTTGGTTGCCAAAAGCCTTTTTGTTTCAAAGTTCAAATATCCACAAATAACATGATTTTAGGAAAGTAAATTCTCTGTGCCTCCTTAAACAAAAAGTTGTCACCTTACAGGAAGCCTATCCAAAACCAGAATCACTAATTGCATTTGAAAGTGTTAATCTGTGCTTACTATACAATTGTAAGTGATAACTTCTTAATGCCTTCCTGCCTTTGCATTCTCCTAGTACTCTCTAGTCTCACCAAACCTGCTCATCATAGGTCCCATTTTTGTCTTAAATTAAGACATTTCTC